GGTCTTGCTCTTGCTCAGGCTGGTCTCGAACTCCTGAGCTCAAATGATCTGCCTGCCTCAGCCTCCCAGAGTGCTAGGATTACAGGCGTGGGCCACCGCACCCGGACTAGAATAGTATTTTATTATGTGGATGTACCATACTTGATTTAGCCAATACCCTCTATTATTAGGTTGTTTCAATTTTTTTTGTTCTTATAAACTCGTTGCAATGGACATCTCTGTAGAGAAAGTTTTCAACACATTTGTGATATTATATATTTCCTTATTTCTTTCAATTTTAAAGCTTTTTCATAATTTAGCAGTCATTCCAGGTTTGGCCAACAGAGGGCATGTTAAACTTTCCTTCTCAGGACGAGGCCATGAGGCCGTTTCTACTGTAGGTAATAAAAAGCGGTTTCATTGTGAAAACTATTCAATTTTGGATCTTTAGTAATCAACAAACTCCAAAGGGAGCATAGAAGTCATTTATTTTTCTAACACTATACCCCAATACTCAAATAATAAATTGCTTTGTTAGCACTTAAACCCAAAAGGAATAAAAATGACCTCTTTGCTCAACTTAGAATAATTGACAGGAGTACTCTATTTTATGAAAAGACACGGTCTCTGTAGAAGACTATGGCGATTAGTGACAAAGTAGCAGGAAAGGCAACTCAATCCTGAAAACAGTGACTTTGCCAGAGAAAAGCCCAGACAGCCCCAGAATTTGTAGCTCCCTAAAAACATGGTTTGGAGTAACACTGAATGGAGTCTTGCCTACACCATTTTTTACCGATTACCTACCAGCCAGTTTTTGGTAGGAAATACTATAAGTTTTGTAAGATTGAGCTTGAAGAAAGGGTTTTTACATTTATTTTTCTTGATTTTCACCAAGATCAAAATGTCCTGAGGGCCGCAATCTGCCTACACTTTTTGGCACATACAATTACGCTTACCAAATTACTAAGTACAGGGGAGGTACTTAAGAGTTGTCACCTAACACTAATGATGAGTTTCTATTCTTGTACAAAGATGATTATTGAGAGGTCGAGTAGAGTAGTAGTTAAGGGCACAGGCTCTGGAGCTAGGCTGCCTGCATTTGTCTCCAGACCCCATCACTGACTGCTGTGCAATCTTGGGCAAAGGACTTTACTTCTCTGAGCCAATGTTTCATCATCTTATAAAATGTCGGTAGTAATCATACCTACCTCAGGGGTAATTACTAAAAACATTAGCAGGCCGTATGGTCTGTCTCAACAACTTAACTCTGCCATTGTTGAGGAAAGCAGCCAGGTGAGCCAGGTTCGGCTCACTGGCTGTAGTTTGCCAACCCTTGCATAAGAAACAGAAATCCTACACATTGTGATTTTTTCAAATGTGTTCCATCTAAACATCCTAAAAGAATTATTAATAAATGAGTTCAATGTGCGAAGTGGTTAGCACAGCGCTGGGACCATGAGAAGCTCTTGATAAATGTTACTAGAATGATTTTGCACAACTGATGCCTTCTCCAAGCTTCTCCCATGGGCACTGAGGACACCAGCCTCTGCCTGGCTTCTCAGCTGACGTGGCCGTGGCTGTGTTGGGTCCAAGAAGCTCTCTGACGGTCACAGGCCACACCTCTACCCTGGCCCCTTGCCCGGTTACCTCTTCTGGAATTTTACTCCAGCCATCTTTCATTTGTTCAACAGGAGTTCCACTTGATTCCATTAAATCATCACCTCTCATAAACACAAAGTCATCTTCATAAAAAGCTGATGGTGGTCTAATGTGTCATAGGGAACAGAAATGCTTTTCTTCACATTTCTGTGCTCAAGAAAAACGTGCTCAGGACAGAGAGAGACAGGGCTTTGTGAAAGAAGGGACAGCAACAGGGATGGAGGGGCCACAGCACTTGCCTCTGCAGACCGGCTGTCCATCGAATGCTGTCCTGAGTCAGCCTTTCTGGCAGTGGTTCTCTGCCCACTTCCTGTTCTAGTACATTCCTGCCCCTAACAGTGGATTCTCCAGGGGTGGGCAGGTATGGGGAATAAAAATCATACATTTCTTCAGAGGCAAGTATTGGGATCTGGGTGGGTTATAGTTCAAACATGTTGTTCCCTCCTGTTCTGATAGGCTCTAGAGGGGTATGTGACCTCTTCCCCACAAAGCTGGTGACATAAGCTAACACAGGAAACAAGCAAAAAAAATTATGTTATGCTGAAGCTGATTTAATTGCTATTCGGATGTTACAGCAGTTAATTAAGACTTCACGAGGAAATGGGACTTAGGAGAGCTGAACTCTTACCGCAGTTGGGACTCTCCAGGCCGCAGACTGGGTGCCTGGGCTTCTGGCAGAAGCAAAAGTGAAGAGAAGGAAAGAATTTTGGCAGCAGAATAGCTTGGACGTTTAGATGTGATTTATTAGGCATTGAAGAATCAAAAAAGGTTTTTGAGCAAAGAAGTGACTTAAAACATAGTGCTGTACACAGGATTGATCTGGCAGCAGTATTTATTTTAAATGGAAGGAGACAGGGCCAGGGGAGTGGAGT